AATTAAATTCTTACTCAAATAAATAAATTAAAAAATATGTAATTTCTGCATACTATGATCGCATATTTTCATTTTTCAACTAATTCATACATAGAATTAATGATTAAACGCAAACCTGAGAAATAAATAAATCAAACGCATGGGGGGAATCGAACCTACGACCTATACTACGGATTATGAGTCTAACGCTTTACCAACTACGCTACGCACGGTACGTGAAAACGAATGTTAACTTCTTGATGTCAATTGAACTTGCAAAATACTTAACTCAGAAAAGTGCTTGGCATCATTTAGTTAAAGTTAAGATATTAAATTATATTTTCCAATTAAATGCAATTTATAAAATATAATTAATTATATGTTTCATGATTATTATCATGAATCATCCCAGGTGAATTTTCAAAAAAAAGTGTAAATATATTTTTATTAAAAACGCGTTTTTCGCTGTTCTGAATCATTGTAAACATTAATTTTGTATTGATGGAAAAATATTTGACTTTTGGACTTCGAATATTATTAAATAATATATATAAATAAATGAATAGTAGGTATCAAATAACTGATTATTCTCATTACACTTAAATATTTAATTTATCAAAATATTTTATTTTCCTTTAATAAAATAGTGTATTATTTAAATAACGCATTATTTATATGAAATAATTTAATTAATTAGAATTAATAAATTTATTGTATCAAATACTTTTTATTTGTATCAAAAAAATGAAATATTTGAGTGAAATAAATAAATTAATTGTTTCAAGTAAATCATTATCATCGTTTCAAATAAATATTTAATTGATTGAAATATTTTTTTATTTGTCTTAATAAAATAGTGTATTAGGATTAAATAACGAATTATTTGTATTAAATAATTCAGTTTATTTGAATCAATTACATAAATTTATTGTGTCAAATACTTTTTATTTGTACCAAATAAACGAAATATTTGAGTGAAATAAATTAATGAATAGTTTCAAGTAACTCATTATTTGTATTAAATAAATTCATTTATTCAATTCAATTAATTATTTAATTGAACCAAATACGATTTATTTGGTTCAAATAAATGCGATTCAAATAATTCAAGTTATTTGAATCAAATACATATTTTTTTGATCCAAATAAAAAGTATTTGAACCAATTAAATATTTTTAAAATAATTTAAAGTATTTGAAACAAATAAAATTTTTTTTCAGTATACTAAATTTCTTCCGTGTGTAAGTTTAAACCGAGTGGATAAAAGCAGATATATTTACTTGCAGGCGACATTGACTCTGGCTGGGACTGGTGTAGTGCAGGCGGGGATATTCGGTCGCGTCCGGTGTACTTCGTTTACGCTCGGCGCTACCCCCGCCGGCCGCCACATTCACCTTCAAGGCTCTGGCGAAAGTCGACTGTAAAACGTTTCTTGCATTTCTCGACTAATTTCGTTCTCTCTCCACTCGGAAACAAATTTTTTTGGTGCTAGCACGGCGATTTAAATGTAACACAAGTTTTTTGTTAAATATTTAGCTAATAACATAAATTTTTTTTGTTAAAAAAATTGATTTTTTTATTACGAAAAAAAATTTTTTTCCAAAAATTGTTATTTTTTATTACAAAAAAAAAATTTGTTTTCCAAAAATTGTTATTTTTTTTAAGAGAAAAAAATTTATTTAAAAGAGAAATTTTTTTTTTAAATGTTATCAAAATATGAGTCATATTTTTTTAGAAAGAAATTCGAAAAAACGGCTTTTTTCCCTTGTCACATTTTTTTTCTTTTAAGGGGGGCGCCTACTTTAGAAGGTAAAAAACTGCGTACATTTCAGGAATTTTTTTCTCAAACACATTTAAATAAATCGATGCGAGATTTAGTGTATGTTTTCTTATATATTTAAATCTTTGAAATATAATTTTTTGATTAAATGAAAATAGAATTTAATAATAAAATAAACGCCATATATATAACGCCTCGCTGCTGAAATTTTCCCATTGCGTACAACCTATGGTCCACAATTCTTATCTAAAACAAAAAAACAAAATTTTTTCTTTAAATATACATTATTCCCTTCTGTATGAATTAAAAGATTTCAATAGAAAGTAAAAACTGACATTTTTATATGACTTTTTAAAAAAAAATTTAATTTTCGCCAAAAAAAATCTCATTTTTTCTTTAAAAGAAAGCACTAAATTTAACTCTATCAAAAACAAATTTAATTCATACAGAAGAGACACTTTTTATCTTCATAACAAGCCCAGGTAGACCTTAATCGGTTGAATAGATTTTTGTCTATCGTGTACACAAACTACAAAAACAGTGTTTTGAGAAAAACGAGTTTAAAGATTGAAAAACATGTAAGTGCTGTTTATTAAAAACTTACGTCTTTTTCGTGGCCTCGATGAACGACTATTTTGTTATGGGTAGCTCTTGGATAAGACGACATTTTACTGATAAATGGTAATTTTAATGGTAGGTGTAATAGTAGATAAGCGCAACAAATTATGAAAAGTGTTAGAGACTGCGAATGGAGTCGCGCGCCAGGCCACGCGCTTTATTGAGTTCTACAAGCTGTAACTCGAAAAATACTTTGTATTTTGACGTAATATTTTAAGAGCATATTCTCTGATAGTTGTACTTTCAGTTAAGACAACTTTTAAAAAATCGCTTTTTTTAACCCGATAAAGTAGGCGCCCCCCTTAATAAAAAAATAAAATTTTCTTTTAAATAAATTTTTTTTTTTTTTTAAAAAATATTTTTTTGGAAAAAAATTTTTTTTCGTAATAAAAAAATCAATTTTTTTAACAAAAAAAATTTATGTTATTAGCTAAATATTTAACAAAAAAATTGTGTTACATTTAAACCGCCGTGCTAGAACAAAAAAAAATTGTTTCCGAGTGGAGAGAGAACGAAATTAGTCGAGAAATGCAAGAAACGTTTTACAGTCAACTTTCGCCAGAGCCTTGAAGGTGAATGTTGCGGCCGGCGGGGGTAGCGCCGAGCGTAAACGAAGTACACCGGAGGCGACCGAATATCCCCGCCTGCACTACACCAGTCCCAGCCAGAGTCAATGTCGCCTGCAAGTAAATATCTCTGCTTCTATCCACTAGGTTCAAACTTACACTGTCTCTGACATATGTGTGCGTGCACATTTAATTCCAGGAACCATTATTACAAATTAAAATGATAAAATATTTTCTGAATTAACAAATTTTTGTTAAAAAGATTTAAAAAATATTTTTTTTAAAAAACATTTTTTTAATTCCCAAAACAATAAAAAATTTTGTACATAAAATTTTTTAAAATTTTTTGTTGAAAAATTTTTTAATTTTATTAAATGAAGAAAAATTTTGTTATTAAAAACTCTTATTTTTTAATTTTCATTAAGTCAATAAATTTTTCTTATTATTTTAAAGTGTTCGTTCCGTCCATTGTTTAGAATTTTTTTTTCGTATATTACAGAAGGTATCTAAACAATAAAATTTTTGGTCCCGGCTATTCTTTTTACTCCTTGTAAAGTATGCCTTAAATTTCGCCTCGGGTTACTATACATATAATACTTAAATCTGAGAATTAAAATTTTTGCACGCATCGAAGATCAAACAACTTAAACATGAAGGTATTTTTCTAGCTTAATCGATTATTAACTATGCATAATAACAAAGATATTATAGACGTAAATTTGTTGGGGAGAGGTTAACATCAAATTGCATTCCGCAATATTTACAGGCTCAAATGTGAGGCATTTTACGTGTAATGTCCTGAGTTAAAAAATTGATTTCTCGAAAAAAAGTAAAACTTAGGGAAATTGTTGTCCTACCTGATAAAAAAATATCCCCAAAAAAAGTTTTGACTTTTTTCAAATTTTGGGGGAGATAGAGGGGGTCAATTTTATCAGTTTTTCCTGACACCGCCTACTATTTGAATATTTTCTGTCTATAAATGCAATAAATAAAAATTTAGGCAGGTTTTTTTTGAAGTTTTTTTCATGCTCTTTCCGATGGTGAATTTCGTTTTTTTGAAATAAATAATTACAAAGAAAAGTTGACGTTTTTTCCGATAAGTATATAAATTTTCAGAATGCCGAGTTTTTTTGTTTTCGAGATATTAAATATCAAACATTTTTGTCGGCGCGCGCCAGTGTAAACAGCAACCACGGCGCGGTATAAGTTGACATTTAAGGGTACTTTTTTATGACGTGGGGCAAGTTGCCCCAAAACGAACGCTTTCCGCACCCTCTGGGTGGTTCTAGTGTACGTATCTTTTAGTCTTATGGTTAGGAGAAGCTACTTTAACCAAAAAATTTGAAAAGTTGGGCCATTTAAGGGTACTTTACTGATGACGTGGGGCAAGTTACCCCAAAACGAACGCTTTCCGCACCCTCTGGGTGGTTCTAGTGTACGTATCTTTTAGTCTTATGGTTAGGAGAAGCCATTTTAACCAAAAAATTTGAAAAGTTGGGCCATTTAAGGGTACTTTTTTATGACGTGGGGCAAGTTGCCCCAAAACGAACGCTTTCCGCACCCTCTGGGTGGTTCTAGTGTACGTATCTTTTAGTCTTATGGTTAGGAGAAGCCATTTTAACCAAAAAAATTGAAAAGTTGGGCCAATTAAGGGTACTTTACTGATGACGTGGGGCAAGTTACCCCCAATTTTAGGTTTATTTGGGGGTTCATGATTTATTATTTTGTTTTTGTTATAGTAAAGTGTATTTTAAGCGATTGTCATTGCGAAAAAGTAATTTTTTACATTTTTAATTTTTCGTTTTTAAAACGTTGCGGACTTCTATCTCATAATCATTGTTAGTAAAACGTTCCTAAAACGTTTTTAGAACGTTTCATGTCTACCAAATAACGTACCGAGAACGTTCCATGTTTTTAAAACGTTATTAAAACTATTTGAAAGACATGAAACGTTCGGAAAACGTTTTATGACCGTTTTACGAACAATTATATTTTTTTGCGCACTGGATATAGTTAACATTTATTTCAATTAGTTCTAATATTTCTTTTATTTTCAGAACCTAAGAAATCTGGTCAAAACATTTTGGGCAATACTGCAGAAGTTCTAACAGAAAAAGAGGATGAACAAGAAATCAGAGGAGGAATGATTAATGAAGAAGAGCGGGTGATGGAAACAGAGGGTGATGAAAGAATTTATAATCAAGGAGTGACTGATGAATTAGTAGGTGATTATATAGTGGATGATGAAGGGAATGATAAAGAAGGAAATGGTGAAGAAGGGAATGATGAAGGAGGAAATGATGAAGAAGGGAATGATGAAGAAGGGAATGATGAAGAAAGGAATGATGAAGTGAATGACGTGGGTGATGATGAAACAATGGCTGATGAAGGAGTTGATAATGAAGAAGTAAATGATGATGATGCAATGTATGACGATGAAGTTGATAATGAAGAAGTAGATGATGATGAAGCAATGGATGACGATGTAGTTGATAATGAAGAAGTAGATGATGATGAAGCAATGGATGACGATGAAGTTGATAATGAAGAAGTAGATGATGATGAAGCAATGGATGATAAAGTTTATGAGGAGCAAATCTATGATGATTCAATTCAAATAGATGATTTTAACTGCTCTGTGGAAAATGAAAACTCTATTGTAATTGTTGAAAGCAATCCAGAAAATGAGTTAGGAAAGAACCCTTTCATAGCTGTGGACGTCTCTAAAAATTTGGCAGAAACAACTCTATTTATAGATTTGTTTTCAAATTTGGATCCACTTGACATTCATGAAGAAAATAAGTGGGAAGATAACACTTATGATGCTGGCAGTGAAAGTGACGAATCACTTTAAAATCACTTTAAATGCTTTGAGTTTTCGGGTGAACTGATTTTGTTACACATTAAATGTAATTATAACAAGTTATCTTGTTTTCAGACATCTGTCAAAAAAAATTTAATAATGTTATTTTGTCTTCTAATTTTTAAGCATTACAATAGTAGATATAACAAGCACGTTTTGCAATTTTTAAAAGTAAATGTTAATTATATATTATAAAGCAACAGATGAGAAACGATTTTCATGTAAATCACATATAGCATATAATTTGTTTGAAAAGTGCTTTAAAAGTTCTTCTAGTTTTCGGGTAAATTTTTTTTACTATACATTAAATGTAATTATAACAAGTTATATGTAGCACCTGTGGAAAAAATTTTACTAATGTTATTTTGTTCCGTACTTTTTAAGCATTATGATTGTACGTGTAATAAGCAAGTTTTGCAATTTGTAAATGTTCGATATATGTTATAAAAGAACAGAAAAGAAAATATTTTCATGTAAATCACGTATAATATATAATTTGTCGTAAAAAAATTCTAATTTTATTTATTACCTTCTTTTATTGCATTTACTCATAAAAAAATAACTTTTAAGAGCATCAGGTTGGCCTTCAATAGCAATATTAAAATTGAATACCTTTCTATACCCACCTTAAAATTTTATGCTTTTCAGTTCCTTTCTATACCTTGGCCAAACTTTATTGGGCGTTATTAAAGGGAATTAAAAGATTTTAATTTATAGTTACTTATTGGGAATTCAAAACTCTGGACAAAAAATGAATTAAAAGGAATTAAATTTTTTCAATACTTTCTAATGCAAGTGTTTTTACCGGGGAGCTTCAGGGGAAGTTCAGGCGAGCTCTATATGTCCTCGGTTTTATAACTCGCGGTGCGAAGTTCAGGATAGTTATCCGATTAAGTTTGCCGAAAAATTGTGGATAAAAGTTTGGGAAATATTAAATTTTGAGTTTTACAGAAATTTGCTTTGTGAATTTCTTTAAAACTATCTCCGGAAAGTACTCTAAATAAGATATATAGGCAAATTTCCTGTAAAATTAAAATACAAGTTTTCAGTGAATTTTATAAGGTAAGTTTATTATAAATGTTTTATAATATTTATTAAATAAAAGTAAAATTAAAAAAAATTTATTTTTCCCTTATTGTGCTTTCTTTTATTTTTCCCCAACATTAACGGCGCAATTTTCGGAAATAAATTTGGAGGAGCTGGGGATTGAACCCGGACGCGCAACACAACAGCCAAGAACCCTAACCACTAACCTAACCAACAACTTGAAGGTGGGTAACTTTCGGGTCTTTATAAGTTGCAAGCCTTGTCGTCATCAGTTGACACGAATGGCGGGAAAATTTAAAAATGTTTTCAACGAAATATTTTTAAATTCTATTATTAAATTAGTGTCATAATTAAAAGGGCATTGAAATAATATTGCAATGTTAATATTAATATTATTTGTGAAACTAGCAGCTATATAAAACGATTTAAGGTAATTCTTTAAAAATGAAATTTATTAAATACTGAATCTCGTTATAAAAAATTCTGGACTTGTCAAATTTTTATTAAATTATTATTGACAAATAATTATAAATATTTATTATAAAATGCAGATACTTTAATTTTTAAATTAATTTATCAAATTACAAATTGACGATTTAAATGTCCACCATACATCTCGGTAAATTTAATTAATTAATTAATGATAAAAGCCATAAACATCCCCAGCTCCTCCAAATTTATTTCCGAAAATTGCGCCGTTAATGTTGGGGAAAAATAAAAGAAAGCGCAATAAGGGAAAAATAAATTTTTTTAATTTTACTTTTATTTAATAAATATTATAAAACATTTATAATAAACTTACCTTATAAAATTCACTGAAAACTTGTATTTTAATTTTACAGAAAATTTGCCTATATGTCTTATTTAGAGTACTTTCTGGAGATAGTTTTAAAGAAATTCACAAAGCAAATTTCTGTAAAACTCAAAATTTAATATTTCCTAAACTTTTATCCACAATTTTTCGCCAAACTTAATCGGATAACTATCCTGAACTTCGCACCGCGAGTTATAAAACCGAGGACATATAGAGCTCGCCTGAACTTCCCCTGAAGCTCCCCAACTTAGTTTCCGAACTTAACACGGGGAACTCCCCGCGAACTCCCTGCGAAAAACGGCAGTAGACGCCTAATCGCACTTTTCTATAGAATTCAATGAAATTTAATATGTGACGTTCCATGAGGAAAGGGACCTTAGCTGCAAAAAAATGAAAATTGAGTTTTTGATATCAGTCGATAGATCTTGAGTTGCTCTTTCAGATACAAAAGTTAAAAATTGTACTTTTCTATTTAGTTTTTTTGTTATAAAGCATTAATCATGACCATGTTAATCGCGTTCCAGCACGGACTACAGAAACCATCCCCACCACTTCTACACTAGTATACTTGTCGTAAGCGTGAGCTGTAGGAACGATGTAGTAGTAAGGTGGTGGGGCTGATTTTCGATGGAGGGTCTCAACCAATCAGGGACGCTCTACTTTAAATACCTTTTCTGGAAAATGCGTCTATTGCAGCTAAGGTCCCTTTCCTCATGGAACGTCACATATGATAACAATTAATTTTGAGATCAATATATTCTATATCTATAAATATTTCTACAATTTAAAAAAAAGAGAATAATGGAGGAGGTCAATCAAATAACTCGATTCGCGTTCGACGCATCGCCCTTATGGTATTTCGATGCATCAAAAATAACACAGCCACACAAAAAAAAAAGTTCTGATCTGGGGGTCTGACTATATATTTTCTATGTCTTTTGGGTCGCTGAATCCGAATCCGAGGCCCATTCAACCCCATCACATCAGGTTTTTGAAATAACCTCAAAAAACCAAAATGGCGGACACTTTTTTGGAAAATTTATCGGATTCGCTTGAAACTCGCTACTCGGGGGTTTTTGGGGTCGCTGATTACGAATTTGAAGTCAGTTTTCAAAAATTCAAAATGGCGGATCCAATATGGCGGACATTTTTTTGAAAAATTTGCCGGATTTGCTTGAAACTCGCTACTCGGGGGTTTTTGGGGTCTCTGATTACGAATTTGAAGTCAGTTTTCAAAAATTCAAAATGGCGGATCCATTATGGCAGGATTTTTTGTCAACTTTATTAGATTCGCTTGAAACTCGTTACATGAGGGTTTTTGAAGTCGCTGATTACGAATTTGAAGTCCAATTTACAAAATTTAAAATGGCGAATCCAATAAAGATGTTCTTTTGAGAAATCAAAAACTTGAGTGTTTTAATTCACCCGTATTTACTTTGTATCTTGCGTGTGCCTGCGTCCAGGGCACCTCCACGTGGTGACGGTGGGCAACGGAGTTTGTCTCCTATCCGGCGAAGTCCCTGGATTAATGGCTTTGATGCCGTCATGGCAGACACACGTAGGAAACGTATTACGATGCAGGGACTCGGAACCCCAGTATCGGCGGTTGAGAGTGAGAAAGCAGGCTCTCAGGCGTCGTCATCCAGCAACTGCAGCTCTTCATTGGTGGGAAACTTGGCTAATGTAGAGTATAATACGACAAGAAGAAGTAACAATTCATTTCACAACTGTGATAGCAGGCGTAATGTGTTTTGTTACATTTGCTCAAAGTATGAAGTTACTTCCTTGCGGAAACAAATAGATGATGACATAAAAGTCACGTACAAAGAAATTTTTGGCTTGACTATTGGTGAGCATTCATGGGTTCCCAATATTATTTGTAATTCTTGTCGAATAATGTTGAATCGTTGGAAAAAAGACAAATTGCAAGGTAAATTTTCTAGTCCTACGGAGTGGAACCAACCTCGTCGTGAAAGTGACTGTTTTTTTTGCTCTAATAAAGTGAGTAGAGCTTTTAATATTAAGAATAAACAGAAGATAGAGTACAAAACAGTGACATCAGTAAAGGCTCCAATTTTATCCGTCAAAACCAAGCAAAAAACTGACTTCGAAGGCACTGACGTATTTGAAAATACTGAAGTGATGGAAGTTGATGAATATGAACCTGAGAGCAATGACACCGACAGCGACTCTGACTATGGGGAAGAATCTAAAAAATCGGTCCCAATGCTGCTTTCACAGTCTGCATTGAACGACCTTGTACGAAATTTAGGCTTACCAAAGGACAAGGCTGAGTTTTTAGCTTCATTTATGAAGCAGAGAAATTTCCTTGAACCACAGACGAAAGTTTCTGTTTATCAAAATCGAGAGTCAGAGTTTAGGAAATATTTTGTTAAAGATGAAGATCTAGTTTATTGCATTGACATTAATGGCCTCATGAATGAACTGAAGGAAAATTGCTATAAAGCAACTGATTGGCGACTTTTTATTGATTCCTCGAAAAGAAGTATTAAGGCAGTGCTACTGCATAATACTAACGTCTATGCTCCTATACCCATAGCTCACTCGACTGTGATGCAAGAAAAGTATGTGAATATGGCAGTACTATTGGAAAAAATTGGCTACGAGCAACATAAATGGCAGATTTGTGGAGATTTAAAAATTATAACTATTTTACTAGGGCAACAGTCTGGCTTCACAAAATTTCCTTGCTACTTGTGTTTATGGGATAGTAGAGATCGAGAGCACCATTACAAGGTGAAAGATTGGCCAGCTAGAAAATCCCTCACACCCGGATCACATAATGTTATCAATGAATCCCTAGTGCAACGAAAGAAGATCATCCTTCCTCCTCTTCATATTAAGCTAGGTCTGATGAAGCAATTTGTCAAATCTCTTGATAAGACAGGCAAATGTTTTAAATACTTACATCAAATTTTCCCTAAACTTTCCGATGCAAAAATTAAAGAGGGAGTGTTTGATGGTCCTCAAATTCGGAAACTCTTTAGGGATCCTAATTTCATTAAAACGATGAAAAATCGAGAGAAAGCGGCTTGGCAAAGTTTCCAAGCAGTTGCTGAGAACTTCCTGGGAAACAAAAAAAGTCCACAATATAAGGAACTAGTCGCCAAACTGATTCAAAATTACGAAAAACAAGGGTGCTTGATGAACTTGAAGCTGCATTTTTTGTTCTCTCATCTCGATGAGTTTCCAGAAAACCTGGGACATTTCAGTGAAGAACAAGGTGAACGTTTTCACCAAGACATTAAAGTGGTTGAAACTCGTTACCAAGGACTCTGGGATGTTAACATGCTTGCAGATTTTTGCTGGATGCTAAAAAGAGAAACACAAGATCAAGAGATGAAACGAAAAAGAAATCCATTAAATAGATCTTTTGAGGAAAAGAGAACCAGATACAGTTCAAAAAAATAAAACAATTAGAGTGATAAATTTTTCTCAAAAAAAAAACTTTTCCTCAAATAGCATTAACAACCAGCCCTTTTAAGAGCTACATGATGTACAAAATCCGATCGTGCAACCTCCTCGCGGTGTACATTGGGTAACGCAAATGCCGACGGTACATTATATAGTAAAATAGACGCGATAACATAAACATTGAAACTAAAGATATTACGCGCGTTTAATAGCACAAATTGTAGGTTTTTTTAGATTATGTCCGAATCCTGATATGATAAATTTAAACTGACTTCAAATTCGTAATCAGCGCCCCCAAAAACCCCCGAGTAGCAAGTTTCAAGCAAATCCAGCATTTTTCAAACAAATATCCGCCATATTGGATCCGCCATTTTGAATTTTTGAAAACTGACTTTAAATTCGTAATCAGCGACCCCAAAAACCCCCGAGTAGCGAGTTTCAAGCGAATCCGATAAATTTTCCAAAAAAGTGTCCGCCATTTTGGTTTTTTGAGGTTATTTCAAAAACCTGATGTGATGGGGTTGAATGGGCCTCGGATTCGAATTCAGCGACCCAAAAGACATAGAAAATATATAGTCAGACCCCCAGATCAGAACTTTTTTTTTTTTTGTGTGGCTGTGTAATGAAAAATTAAAATTCAAAATTTTAATTTTTTGAAAACACTATCTTGTAGAGAATAAAAAAACACAACTTCTTTCCTTAATACTTTTTTTGTAGAACTAATATTAATTAAATTAAAAAGTAAAAACATCAAAAATTTTTTTTTTCAAATTTAAATAAATTTTTAAACATTAATCGTTGTTTTGAAGTCAAATGTTAATGAATTAACTTGCAATTTTTTATACAAGTTCATTTGGGTCTGCTGAAACCGAAAAAATCATAAAACCTTTAAAAATTATTTATTGTTTAATTATTTTTTATTGTAAGCAATGACTTGTCAGTAATATATTTTTCTTACTTTCGATAAGGAAAAGAATGTGGTGAAGTTTTGAATTGATCAAACTTCCAGTGAGAAAGTTGTTCCTCGGTATTCAAGGAAGTTTTCTGGAAAATTTCAACAAAATTTATTAAAAAATAAAAAAGTTATGCAATTTTTAAAGCTTGACCAAAGAGTCATTTTCATTATTTCTAAAATTAAAAAATAATATTTATAAATAAAGGGTTTAAAAAAATATGTATAAGATAAAAATACTAAAAAATGTGTGCCATGAAAATTTGTACAAATTAAAAAATTTATGAAATAAAAACACATGTATAAACAGGGAAAAAAATAACGGACATATTAACCATACAAATCCCAGTAAAAAAAAGAATTGGGAGTAAGCGATATGAATTGGTGGTAACTTAAGCTGAATTCGGTTTGGCGAAAAAACCGAATTGGAACGTTACGGTGAATTATTTTTTTCTTACCGTGAATTCTTTTTTCTTAAACATTTGAATTGACGTTTGTTTATTCGAGTTTGCATTATAAATGAATAAAATAAATGCTTCGAAGTCTAAAAAAGCCGATTTGGAATAAGAAATATATAATTTAAAAAAAATAAATGAAAGCGAAGTGTGACAGATTCACCGACGATTTTATCAAGTGAGAAGTGTTCATATGATGAATTTACCATATAAGTAGTACTCACATGGTAAAATTGTCGGTTAATCTATCACATTTCAATTTTATTTGTTTTTAAAAAATTATATATTTCTTATTCCAAATCGGCTTTTTTAGACTTCGAAGCATTTATTTTATTCATTTATAATGCAAACTCGAATAAACAAACGTCAATTCAAATGTTTAAGAGAAAAGAATTCACGGTAAGAAAAAAATAATTCACTGTAACGTTCCAATTCGCTTTGTCGCCAAACCGCATTCAGCTTAAGTTACCACCAATTCTTTTCGCTTACTCCTAATTCTTTTTTTTACTGGGATTTGTATGGTTAATATGTCCGTTATTTTTTTCCCTGTTTATACATGTGTTTTTATTTCATAAATTTTTTAATTTGTACAAATTTTGCATGGCACACATTTTTTAGTATTTTTATCTTATACATATTTTTTTAAACCCTTTATTTATAAATATTATTTTTTAATTTTAGAAATAATGAAAATGACTCTTTGGTCAAGCTTGATATTAATAAAATAATGAAATGTCACAATTATTATTAAAATAGTTAATAAAAATAATGAAATAAACAATTTATTATTAAAAAAATAAAATAAAATCTAGTATCATTAGTTAGTTATAATAAAATCATTAATACACTTCACTGTTTATTTGTATTAAAATATAAATTTCTGTGATTTTATTTTAAAAATTTAGTTGAAATTAAAAGTTTTTAATTAGTGTAGAAAATGTAAATATTTTATTGTTATTATTATTAAAAAATGTGCGCCATGAAAAATTTGTACAAATAAAAAAATTTGTAAAATAAATACACATGTATACCCTTCTAGAAAAAATCGATTGAAAACGATTGAAAACAATAGGAAAGAAATTTCTATTGTCCCCAATCGTGTTTCTTAATCGTGTTCTTACAATTGAAGACGATTGACTTTCTTATTATATTCAATCGTTTTCAATCGTGTTCTATAGATTGTATTCCATGCATTATTGCTTGGTGGGAGTTTTTGAAAATTTTAAAAAATGCAACTAATTAAACAGTCTAGAAATATATAATTATTTCAAAGATTATTTTCCGAACTAAAAAATTAAAATATTTATCAATGTATTTGTCACCACAGAAGAAAATCATATATTTTATCAAAAATTAATTAAAAGTTATTTTTTAATTTATCTTTGAATGAAACTGCACAAGACGAAATGTTTCTCGTTTATAATTTATCGAAAAAATGTTTAAAAAATAATTTTTGACAGATACATCAAGTATTGTTTTAAATTGAATTACTGAAATTTTTTTTTAATTTCAGTCAATATTGAATTTTTTTAAATAATCGAATATTGGAAGATCTACAATAATTATAAGATTCATTAGAAATAATTAAATTTCTGGTGATTTTAAATTGAAAATTTTGAAAATATTTTAATGAATGAAAAACTTTATACAAATGTAAATTTTTAGAAAAAATTTATATTTCGAAGAGTTGCAATCAAAGTTTTTAATAAAAAATATTTTTTTTTAAATTTATGATAAAATTTGCAAAAAGTATTAGTTAAAATTTTTTATAAATAAAATAATTATAGAATTTAATAGAAGTAATTCAATTTTGGAAGTATTAGAATTGAAAGGTTTTGACTTATTATTTTTAAATAATTGAAATTTTGTAAAATTTAATTGAAAACAATTGAACTTTTTAAAGAATTTGATTACAATTTTTGAAAATATTTAATTGAAAAATTATGGTTTTTTGTTGTTGGAAGGAGTTTAGGTGAACTTCGAACAAAATTTATACTGAATAATTTTTTTGTTAAATTTTTTTGAAAAGCTGCTGGACACATAAAGTTTAGAAAAAACTAAAAATTTTGTTCTAAAAAAAAGATTAAAAACTGAAATTATTTTAAAATACAAGAAATAGAATTTTTTCTTATATTTATTCTTATATGTACCTAATTATTTATTTAATTAATTTCTGTTTATATGTATTTTTTTACGTACCCATTTATTTATTTTTATTTTTTTGAGGTTATGTATTAACAACTCAAAGATTGTCATATTTAATTTGTTCATGTATAGGATAAGTAAACATATTGACATTATCCATATCACTAGAAATTTTACTTTAGATTTTAAATATTTTACACATACGCACGAACAGAACAAACTATATATTACAAAAGACTTATAAGAAAAACATCTTTCCTGTTTGATTCAACACTTTTCTTATTCTTATAATTAACTATTTGCGTATGTGCGTATATCGTTCTCCCGATAGCACCCGATTAAAAACAATTGAAAAAGTTTAACTTATTTTACACGATTGAAAACAATTCGAATCAATTGAAAAAATATATACTCCAATTGAAAACAATTCAAAACGATTAAAAAATTTTTGTACTCAATCGTTCTGAATCGTGTTTAATTGATTTTTTCTAGAAGGGTAAACAAGAAAAAAACATGTGGAATTATTAACCATAATAATAGTAAAAATAATAATTTTTTGCGAAGGAATAATAGTTAATAACAATTTAATAAAAATATTAATAATAGAAAAAATAAATTAATAACACAAAGGTGACTACAAAGGTGCTATAACCTTTATATAACACCTTAGTCAAAACCTCGACTAAAAAAGTAATTTTTCAATATCTAGAGGTTAAAAAGCGGAGAAATCTTACTTTTTATAACAGCTGACCCCTCTATCCAAGTTTCATCATCAGTGCTACCAACCCAACTTTCTCTGAAGTCACTGAAAATATTACTAGCCATCGCGCTGAGTTGCGTCACGAGCATGCATCGTGTTGACACTTTCCGTTCATAACCATTCATAACCTCGTGTTCTCGCAAACATTTTGTTGTCGTGAAATTGACGTGCAGATTGTTATTGTTAAATTGTTAGATAGTTTCATTAATGTGCATTAATCGATTTGTTGAAAATTAAAGCAAAAGCTTTTCAGCCCCAGAAAGTGAAAGTTTTCACGACAGACGAGGTGAACAAATTTCTAACCCAAGCCCCAAATGATAAACATCTGGCAACAAAGGTATGTATATATACTGTAACGCGGCATTTTATTGCCTGCGTTCAAAATAAATAAACATGATTAATTTGACGTCAAAATAACGCCAGAGCGGGAATCACACTTTATTTCACTTTAATTCTATCACTTTTATTTTACCTTTATTTACAATAAAATCCATAATTTCGCTAATGGGCGAACCGTCAGATTATTGTTCACTGATCATAAAAAAAATTAAGAATAAAACTAACTCTTTTCTTTCTCTTACTTTACATAAAATGACACTCGGGGTTAAGTCCCCAATTTCACAACTATCGGGTCGATCATCGACTTAAACATCCTTGAAGGAAGACATCAAGGGAAGTATTTTCTGGCATATATAATTGGATGTGAGTCCCAATTATGCAACATTGACAGGAAAACGAAGATCCACTTCTAATAACAAAGACTGGGCGGAGTTAAATTTTCGAGAGAAAAATGCTAAAGGTTGCCACGCGTTATTTAAAAATTGCTCTAAAGTCGCTCCCATCCCCAGATCCGATGCGTCCGTAACGAGACGTATAGGTGCGCTAGAAGACGGATTAGCGAGCAGTGTGGCCTTAACTAAAGCTTCCTTCACCGCCTCGAAAGCATTATCGGCTGCCGGATTCCAATTAATCTCACGTTTATCGTTTTTACGCGTATCATGTAAAAACGCGTTGAGAGGTTGCTGGATCTGTGCGGCGTGTGAAATGTTACGGCGGTAGAAATGCACCAACCCCAAAAAACGTCGAAGCTCTTGGATCGTGCGCGGTTTTCCGTACTCGGATACGGCCCGAATCTTTTCTGGAGTAGGACCGAAACCGTTCTCATCGAGAATATGGCCTAAAAATTCAATTTTACTTTGACCGAATATACATTTTTTAATATTAATTTTAAGAGAAAATTCTTTAAGACGCTTGAAAACAGTGTCTAGATGCACCTCGTGTTCCTGCAGACTTCTAGAAGCAATGAGGATGTCATCTAAGTATACGAAAATAAAATCTAAATCGCCGAGAGCCCTGAACATATACCGCTGGAATGTTTGTCCCGCATTCCTCAAGCCAAATGGCATGAACAGGAACTCAAAAAGTCCAAACGGTGTTGTTACAGCGGTTTTCGGAACGTCATCGGCAAAAACGGGTATTTGGTGGTATGCCGCGTGCAAGTCTATTTTAGAAAAAACTTTTTTACCATTTAAATTAGTTGCAAAATCGTGCAGATAGGGTATCGGAAATTTGTCCGGAACAGTTCCAGTGTTAAGCAACCTATAATCTCCACAAACTCTCTACTGACCATCACTTTTTTGGACCATGTGGATGGGAGAAGCATAGGCTGCACTAGACGGTCGACACTTTCCTTCTGCCGTTAAAGCTTTAAAATTGTCTTTAGCAATTACAAGCTGGTCGGGAGGAAGCCGACGCGGTCTTTGGGACACTAAAGGTCCTTTTGTCACGATGTGATGATATACGCCATGCGTGGTATGCAACTCTTTTTGGTTTAGATTTAATGTTTCCGGATATTTACGTATTATATTATAAAAAGGACTAGACTTATCAATTCAGCTAATGTCTGTAACAGTAGCTTTTTTAAGAAAACAATGGGTGTTATTACCAGAGTTTACATCAATAAGTTTCCGATTTTTTAAATCAACTGTTAGGCCGAAAAATGTTAAGAAATCGGCTCTGATACTAGGGTATGGTACCGAGGCTGTACAAAAATCCCAAGGTAAATGTCGACTAATCCCAAAATCAACCGTTAATTTTCGACATCCGTATGTATTTATCTGCGAGTTATTTGCAGCATAAATAACATAATCGGATGGTTTAACTGCATTTTGAGGCTTTACCGGAATTATTGACAGATCCGAACCGGTGTCTATTAAAAAACTTAACCCTGTATTACGGTCTTGAATATATAATCGTTTTGAACACGGAAGGTCATTTATCATATTTACTTGACGCGGCCCTATTAGTTTCCTGAGGCTGTACCAGCTTGCCAAGCGCAAAGTGGGACACATTTTAGTGCTTTATCACCGAACTTGCCATGATAAAAACACAATTAAGAATTATTTTCGTTATTCCTTTGGACATTGTTATTTTGGTTAAATGATTTTCTAAAATTTGTATTATTGTTGAAATTGTTATTGTTATTGTTGTTGAATTTTCTATTTCCAGATTTACTTCTGTTTCTGTTTCTATAGGTATCAGGGCGCTGAGTTGGACGAAATCTACTAGGAGCAGAAATGGCGTCAACCTTCGCGGACAACGTCTCGATCATTTTCACCAATTCGTCGTGGGAATTTTCGGAAGAAACGGCCGCGACCTGAGAATTACCAGCCAACCCGGAGGCTTCGACGAAGCGATCTGCTAATTCGGCAAGTTTGTCAACTTCTTTAACCTCACTTAGGGCTAATGCTGAACGGCAACAGCTAGGCAGTTGATCTAAAAACACGGTTTTAATAATTTCCTCTCCGCATTTCTCTTGGCTGAATGTTTTAATTCGATTCAATATTAACGATTGCTTCCCCTCTCCCGACAACTCGCCCTTTAATAATTGTCGCAATTGTGATTCCGACGAAACCGCGTAACTTGATATCAATCTTTGCTTGATTTGCGCGTAAATATCATCCGGTTGGGTTTCTTGAGTAATGATATCGCTAATCGTCATTACCGTCTCGAAATCTAGAGCTGCCAGGACTGCGCCAGCTTTGTTTTTCTCGGTGGTAACGCCCGCGTAATCAAAAAGGAGCTCAATCTCGGCCAACCATACTCCAGGTTCCTTGTGGTAGAAACCGGGCAATTTTAACATTTGTCGAAAACCGTTGTTTTCGTCGCTACTAGCATTTGCCATTGTTGATTAATTCGATAAAACCGTGAAGCAAAGCACCAAAGAAAATTAATATAAAATATAAAACAAAGAAAAAAATAATGCTCAAAAGAGAAGAAAAAATAATATATAAAGCTGCTAAATTATTCTTGAAATTGCAATATAATTAAACAAAACCGTTCAATATTAAAGTGTTCGCAAACTAAAACTCTCGAAATACAACTGTCATTATTTTAAAATAAAACTTATTTAACGCGTAAGAGCATTGCACAAGCAAATTAAATAATATACTATTTCAAAAATAAATAAAATGACTATGTCAACAGTTTAAAAAATTAGAACAAATTATTTACGATATTGGACGCCGTTATAAAAAAAATAAAATAAAACATTCCTGACAACATGTGACACAAGGGAACATAAAACAATTTATTTTCTTTTTTTTGTTTAATAAAAAAAATAAAAAAAAGAAAAAGGAGAAAGAGACATAAATATAAAATAACAAATTGTTCTTTACCAAAAAAAATAATAAAAAAAAATTTTAAATTGAAGATAAATAAATAATTAAATATAAAATTTTATAAAATGAATGTAAAAAAATTAAATATGTAAAATGTCGCTTTCAAAAAAAAAGATTTTGTCACTCCTTCACACCGAGCTGACCGAGAACCACTGTCACTTTGCTTACATGCTCATATAGACCCGACAAAAGAAAACGCAAGTTGACCTTGACTGCTTCGTTGATGACGTCCTTGGAAATTATTTAATTGGTGATGAAGTCCCTTGGAAAATTACTTAATGGCTTCCTGGCAATTTTCGACCTTGACAGTACTGGACTTGAGCCTTAACTCTTTGCTCGCTCCAAAAAGATGTCCGTCGATGAGGCGGGAAGCATGAAAATAAATTTATTTAAATTTTAAAAGGCGGAAAATCGTTAATGCCACAGGTAATGGAAACAATACACACCTGTTGCATGGGCTCGGAGTGTACTGCCCATGCGCCATTTTCCAAATCAATAATTTAAATAATTTTAACTGCCAATTATTTCAGCTCACCAGGAAGACAAACATCTGACGTCAGGAATGGTTAAAATTCTTTAGTTATATGACGGACAAGGACATCCGTGACCTCGGAGAAGACTGGAAAAAAATTTTTTTTGTCCTTAAATTTGTTCTGGAAGTTCTACAGGGCGACCGATGTTGGCCGGAACCACGCTGTGAATAAGGTAAAAAATGAGCGAAAACTCGATTTTTTATACTTACATTTTTTATAAAAAAAAAAGTAAAAAAAAAAATATTTTTTTCAGAAGTGGAGTGAATTAAAGATGTATTCTTAGTGAAAATTGCACTCGAATAAATGATGAAGAACACGATGCCATCTCCACTGTAGAGCAATGGCGTGGCGTCACTTGCGAAAACGTGCTCCAAAATTTAATCACTTTATTTCGTCAAAGTTTTTACATTTTCACCAAAATTTTTTATACACATGTCCTTAGGATTTTTTTTACCAATATTCACTACCACTTTCATTGAAATTGTTTATGATGGCCACGATATTAATTGATATAATTTATATAAGTCCACACGTGCGACGATATCACGTCGGGGTCACCAATGTGGGATTTTTATTAATATAAATGTTACAAAAGTCCAGAAGGTATCCTCACAATTGTGGACAAATTTATAGTATTAAATAAACAATATTTAATTAATTAAACTTCGATTTATTCACTAATATTTAATAATCTTAACGCATAGTGCGTGTTTAACATTTCGTGGTCCCAGCGCAACTGAACAGTAAATCGCGGGCATTCAAACGCAGCGTATATTCCTTTGTCTCTCTACGTGGGAGGGAGAAGAAGCAATTGGCGCGAAGAACTCAAGCGTTCATTTTCTTACCACGCGCGCGAGAAACAAGTATTCAGTTGCAGGAATCGACTTTACCGTGCTGCGATCCCCACACATGTTATTGTGCAGCGCCCCTATCGGTCATTTATCGAACTTTCTTTCGACCGTCGATAACTAATGAAGTTACCATCTGACGTGCATCGATTACCAATGGTGGATCTTTTGTAACTCGGGCGAGACTCACCATGTAGACGAAGCGCGACGAACGGACGCGATGACGCGGACGAACAGCCACTTTTTTAATCATTCTCGTTTTGGCGTTCGCGACAAGGGCAGTAGTCTCTATCTAAAATTTTAGGTGCCAAGTGCAAATTAAATTCTCAATAAAATAACATGAGACGAGGACTATTAAGAGGACGTCGGCGTATCTCCGGTGAGTCTCTCGTCCATTAAAAGTGAACTTTCGGCTGATTTGATCGCCTAAAAGGTTAAATCATAAAAACTCTGTTCTACGAAAATTTGTGTGTTTTCACAGGTCCCTTCAGGACCTGTTTCAAATTATAACTAAATTTCTGTGTTTTCACAGGTCCCTTCTGGACCTGTTTCAAATTATAATTAAAGTGTGGTTTAAAATTGATTTTGGTGATTTTCCTTACCCACCCGCTCTCCTTGTTAACAGCTGGGCTAGCATATTAAATTCATTAAATAAATGGTTTGGTTATTTTCCACAAAATAACCTGGCGTCTCGGGCATTAAATTAAAGACGCGGTTGCACTTTCCCATGATTAGATTCTACACTTAAAAATTTTGGATTTTAAATTGTACACTTGTCAATGTGTCTCAAGGCGTAATAGGTTTAAATTCTATATTTTAAATTTAAAAACAGTAAAATTCTACACATTTTATTTACATATTTTTTGTAAAATTGTACACTACTTAATTCTACACATATTAAATTGCATGGAAAAATTGAAGTATAAATTATTGAACTCTACATCATCAAATTCATAAAATAAAATTCTACACTAAATTTAACTGAAAATTAATAAAAATAAACTCTACACAATTAAGTTAAACACATTTTTGTTAATTTTTTTTCTTATATTGTACACTATTCAATTGTACACTCACAAAATTGCATACAAAGAAATAAATTAATTGAAATAACATATTGAAAATTCTGAACCGTTAAATTGAGGACCATTAAATTATACACAAAATCTTATTTTAATTAAAAATTTTAATCTTTACACGATTAAAATTCATACATTTTTAAAATTACTTTTTTTATGAAATTGTACACTGTTTAGTTCAACATCGACTAAATTGTGTACAAAAATTTAATAAGGTATTAACCAATTCTATACAGCTAAACTGTACATAATTCAATTCTACACAGGGTAAAATATTTAGAAGAAATTAAATAAATAATAAATTGTCCAACTGTACCCTGTTAAACTGTATAGCGTGAAAATTTCCATATCAAAATAATTATCATCACTAACTTGTTTTAAATATTTCATTTGTTGTTAATTGTCACTATATTTACTTAATTATTGTTAAAATATTGAGTGGTTAAAAAATTAATTGGAGGTTTTTAAAGCTTTAATAAATTTTAATTAATTAAAACGAAAATTATATATTTTATTTTTAGTAATGTATTAAAATAAAAAAAATTATAATATGTGTCAGAAATTAAAAAAGTGGCAATAGGCGGTAGATATATGAAAGGACTATTTTAACAGGCATAGGTTATGACTGGTGTAAAATATTTTTTAATTTTTAAGATACCAACAAAGATAAAGATACAAAATTGTTAATATTTAAATGAAACGTGTTGGACCAAAATAATAACCTCTATAGAAAATTTTATTTTGCATCTATATACCAATTTTTTAATCTATTGAAAAAAAATGTGTACAAGTGTTATCAAACGATTCACAGAAATTGGTTTTGAGTAAAATTTGTGCAGTTTTACAAGGATATTTTAAGTGATACTTTTAGTGTAAGGAAAAGTGAAATATATATATTACAGGCTTCTATTAGGCACATCTTAAGGCGTGCTCATATTAAATTAAAGAAAAAATATTTTTCATTGAAAATTATTTCAAAATTGGATGCAGGTAATTATAAATATATAATGTATTAAAAAATTATACTACTATTAAAACAATTATTCCAAACATTTTTTATTATTGTAGAAGATATAAAGCGTGGCGGTGTCAAGCCAGTAGAAGAAAAGTTGATACATTTTAATTCTACAGTTGTAAAATATGTGATAAAACTTAATGTAGAAGCTGCTTTTATTGTGGAGGTTTTTTTTATTTTTCTTATTTTCCATCTTACTTTGAAATGATAAAAGTTTTCGGCTTAAGTTTTGAGGTATGATAGGGGAGTGTATACATAGATTTCTGCTCTTCTCGGTGCGAGGTATAATTTTAAGCAAGGGTATAAAAAATAAGAGTTGAAAAAGCCCTATTTTTGAATAAAAGTAACGGACAATGTCCCTTTTCTTACATGCCCTTAAATTTTCGGGTACTCAATACTTTCGAATACCCAAAAAATTCAGGAACCCGATTTCTTCGGGTAACCCGATATTTTCAGGTAGCCCGAAATTTTCGAGTACCCGAATGCATTCGGGTACCTGTAAATTTCGGGTGCCCGAATTTTGTGTAGCCCGAGCCCGACCCAACCCGAGTTTTCGGGCTTTTTGAACACCTCTAAAAAATAACTTAAGAATAGATAATTTATTTTTAATAAATAAAATATATTGAAATAAAATATATTAAAATATAAAATGAAATATAAAAAAAACAAACTAAGTTTTTAATTAAGTTTCGTTCTTTAATTATGTTAATTGTAAAATAGATTATCGTTTACTTTAATGTTATATTATTAAATATTATAATAATAAAAAATAATTAAAATTTAAAAAAGTTAGAAAGCTTCAATAAAAAAACCAACAAATTCCATGCTGTTTACTTTATTTTATAGAAAAGTTATAAAGTTCACACATATTAATTTAACTTTTGTAAGATTTATTAATGCCATTGGTCAATTTTAAAATAAGTAAATTTATGAATTTACTTATTACTTACTTACTTTTATAAAACTAAAAAATATATTTGTTAAGTGGTAAGTACAACAAAATGTGTAAATAAAAACGAAAAGCTCAAG